GGGACAATGAGTTTCAAAGTTTTTACAACTGCTTTCTTGAGTTGAAATTTTAACCTGCACAACTAGGTTCCTGACTGTCTGAACAGAACAGTGTTCTGTTATAATCTCCAATGATATTAATTCACCCTCATTGTAAACTATAAATCCCAGACTTCTGTACCCTGTAAGCCATTTCCATACCTAGAAAATAAACCCTTTCTTGCCTGATTGATTGACTCCACTGCAGGGAAAAAAAAAAACAACTTGCTGATCTTTTTGAAGTCTGCTTCCATCCCAGTTATTTGTATTTTCATTATGGTGCCAAATTATTTTTGCTTACAAGTTTAATTCCTGGTACCAAAAACAACTATATATACAGTTTGCTCTTTGAAAAGATAAAGAAAATAGATAAATCTGTAGCCAAACTAACAAAAACAAAACACTCAAATGAAAAAAAATTAGAATTGAAAAAGAAAAAAAATCACCACAGACATCATAAAAATCCAGGGGATCATTAGAACCTATTTTGAAAACTAATATTCTAAGGTTGGGGTTGTAGTTTAGTCGTACAGTGCTTTTCTAGTGTGTGTGAAGCACTAGGATCTATCCTCGTAACTATATAAAAATGTAAATAAATAAAGGTATTGTGTCCATTTACAACTAAAAATATTTTGAAAAAACCAAACTTATACTCTAATATTTTAGAACACCTAGAGGAAATGGATACATCTCTAGACATACATAACTTGCTGAAATTTAATCAAGAAGTTTTAGAAAAACTAAACAAAACAATTAGAAGCAATGAAATATAAGCAGTAATAAAAACTGTTCCACCAAGAAAAACCAAGGTCCAAATAGATTCTCAACTGAATTCCACACCAGACCATCAAAGAAGATATCATGCCAACTCTCCCCAAATAATTCCATTAAATAGAAAGGGGTAAAATTCATCAAATTAATTCTATAAAACTAGTATCATCCTGATACCAAAACCAGATAAAGATACATCAAGGAAAGAAAACTATAAACCAATATCCCTGATGAAATTAGATGCAAAACCCTTAATAAAATATTGACAAGTCATAATCAACTGATTTTGGAACTCATTTTGTTTTTGTTTGTAAGAGCCTTGAGGTGCATCCTTTATATAGGATCTATCTGATTTTCTCAGGTGGGCACTCAAAGCTATAAACTGTCTTCTTAGAAAAGCTTTCATATTTCCCCGTGGTTTCTGGTATGTTTTATCACTATTTTTGTTTGAGTCTAAGAATTTTAAAAGTTTCTTCCTAGTTTTCTTCTATTATCTATTCATCACCTAAAAGTGTATTGTTCAATCATATTCAATATTAAGAAGATTGTACATCAATCTTCTGGGTTTCATACCTGGGATGCAAAGATAGTTTAACATATGCAAGTCAATAAAGGTAATTTACCACATAAAGAGAATTAAGGACACAAAGCATATAGTTATGTCAATAGATGAAGAAACAGCATTTGACAAAGTCCAGCACCTATTCATGTTTAAAACACTAGAGAAACTAGGGGAAGAAGAAACTTACGTCAGCATCATACAGGCTATCTGTGAAAACCCCAAAGCCATCATCATAGTGAATAAGGAAAAATACAAAGCATTTCCTTTAAAGTCTGGAACAAGATAAGGATGTCCATTCTCACCACTCCTGTTTAATACAGCATTAGAACTTATAACCAGTGTGTGTTAGAAAGAGAAGGAAATAAAAGGATAAAAATGGGAAAGGAAAAATAAAATCATCACTATTGATGACATGATTGCATACATAGAAGGTTCAAAAACTCCACAAGAACACTGCTGGAGCTAACAAATTCAGCAAATTCACAGGTTACAAAATCGACATGAAAAACCAATGGTTTTCCAGAAGGGGCACAGGGTTTCAAGAATCAGTATCTTGAGGATGAATGTGACCTCTGGAAGTAGATAGATGGCACTCAGTTTCCATCTCCACCAGTGACCATCATGGTGACCTAAATGAACTAACTCACTCTTGTGTTGCTTCATGCATCACGGTTATGAATTCATTTTTCTCTTAAAACACCCTTGTCTTTTTTTTAACCTTTCTTTATATGTAATTCCTATGTACTACCGGCTTCTATCAGTATCTTATTCAAATTTATCTGTGTGTGTGTGTGTGTGTGTGTGTGTGTGTGTGTCTGTGTTATACATTGCTTTCATTCTTTGTGATGTTTTCTCCATAGCTCATATTTGGAGATAATCCCCTGCAAACATATTTAGATTAATTCCTTGCACTTAAGCCTCAGAGTGTGTTCCATCAATACATAGGTGTTACCTTCCTGCAATCCCCTCCCAGTTGGAGACTACTACAAACCCTCTGAGCTGAAGCTAGCCACATTGGCCTTCACAGTTCTTTGTGAAGACATGTTCCCAGGTGATGTTTTCACTTGGAGATTTAGCAAGTTCTTTGATCTATGCTCTATATTTTAAAAATAAAATATTTTTATTTTTTAAAAACACTGTCTTACTCTATGACATCATATTCTTTCCTATTTGATGTTTTAAGTTGTTCATTTTTAGCATTGTTGTGATACAGATGAGGCTTCTCTTTGCAATTTCCATAGTGTGCTTTTTATCACCATGCTTGTGGGTGCATGATACCTGTTTTAAAATTTTTCTTGTCATAGGAAATATAATATATTGTTGTTTCTTAGTTTTCTTAATTCAATGCTTAGTCACTTCCCAAAAATTTTCCAAGAACTTCCCAGAAGCTCCAGAGGCATTCACTCAAGGAATTATTCCCACTGGAGAAGAGCACTGGGGTGTTGATCTAGTGCTGATGTTCTAAGTAAGTGTCACTATCCAACACTTACATTATAAGAAAAGGATAGGTCATATGGTTTAGTGGAGGCATTTTGATTTTGGAATCAGGCAAAGTGGACCCCAAATCTCAGCCCAACTCCTTAATAATTGTGGGACTTTAGACATGTTCCTTTATGTTAAACAGTTATATGAACCACACTTATAAGAAAATGCAGAATGATACTGAGGATCAAAGTATAGGCAATTCTTCAGTCTTATCTGTATCCACAAACTTGATGATGTGCTCCTACTCCTACTCTTGTCAAAACTCAGAATCTCTTTCCCAAACCTTGAATCTGAGCTTTTCTTATTTTCTATGGCCTATCGAGAGCTGTGATCATGAAAGTGTATTAATTGGATAGATAAGATCAAAATTCCTTGAATGGTTTTGCTTTTGCTTTCATACCCTGTCATCTCCATGAGATGAAGCCCACATTAGCTTTTTGGAGGATGAAATATCATGAGGAGGAGGACCAAGGTGCTCCAGTTGATAGCCAGCCCACCCTCTGAAGTCCAGCAATCTTATAAAAAATCAGCTAACTATATGCAGCATTCAGACCCCAGCTGAGTCTAGCCTAGATGACCAGCCCAAATCATGAGCTAATACACTTTAAAGTATTTATATCCAGTGATTTATAACTAATATATTCACTATCTTAATGCCAAGATTAAATCACATGTGACTTAATGTTATTCAGCAAATAAGAGGTGCCATACATGTGCTGATTTTCTTTTCTCCTACCTTAAAAGTTAGATCTCTCATTAGATAGTGTTGAATTATACAGAAATATATGCAGGCATATATTGGTGCTAAACTCTCATAGTGTCCATCCCACAGAAGGAAACAGATTTCACAGCCTGGCCATTAGGTCAAATTTCAAAATCATATGTTCCTTTATCTTCTTTAAATAGAGCTTAACTGAAGAGATCTAAATTCATGTGACCCCCCACCTCCCTGGACACCCACCTTCCTTTGTTTACTGTGATATAGGAAAGGAAAATGGCTTTGTGCCCAGCATCAAATGAGAAATAGTGGGAGAAATAGTGGCCTACTTTGAATACTTGTTGGTAGGAGCTCCTTGCTCTTTCTGAAGGTAGTCTTTCCTGGGCTTTTGACCAAGGAGAAATATTACTAAGAAGTTTTATTCTTTTCCTGTGGTGCTGAAGTCAGGGGAGCCATAGCTCTGCAAGCTGGAGTGTGACCACTGTGAATTGAGATGTGTTGAAATAAAAAAGAGTGAGTTTTCAAGATACAGCTCCAAAAATATAAATAATTAATAATTTTATATTGGTCATATTTGATAATATTCTGCATATATTGCTTAGGGCCTCTCTTAGTTGCTGAGGCTATTTGAATCTGCCATCCTCCTGCCTCAGCCTCCCAAGCCGCTGAGATTACACTTGTGACTCACATTTTGCTTGACTCCGATATTGCTGCTTTAGGGTATTGTTTCCCAGTTCAGAGATCAAGATACTTCCTGATAAGACCAGAGAGCAGAAAAGTATTTTAAAAATTAAAGTAATTGCTAATCTTTTATATTCATGAATAATATATAAACATATAATTAAGGTTGATATGAGACAGGGTTCAATGCACATATCTTCCTGGATAGGATAGATTCCGCTACTCAGAGGAAGTCGTGTCTTAAAACATCTGCAGTTTGAATTTCTGGGTTCAATATATAGATCCTCAAAAGAAAAAGAAAATAGTGAGTCATGGTGGAGCACAACAGAAATCCAATGTAGAGGCCATTCCAAGTTAGAGGCCACCTTGGGATACAGGAAAAACCTCATTTCAAAATGAGAGAGAGAGAGAGAGAGAGAGAGAGAGAGAGAGAGAGAGAGAGAGAGAGAGAGAGAGAATATGAATATAAAAGTATAAAAGGACTGGGGATGTAAATGAGGGATAGAGAGTCCCTGGGTTATATCGCTAATACTGGAGGAAAACAAACCAACCAACCCACAAAAAACAAACAAACAAACAAAACAACAACAATAACAACAACAACAAAAAAAACAGGAGCCAAGAACCTGTCGCTCTGTTCTCATTCATCCTTGGTTGGGTGCAAACTACTGTCACTCAGAGCGTTGGCTCACTGGGCTGCGTTCGAGGGGGCTGGCCCTGAAGTCCTGTCCAATCAGGGGCAAGTGGGTGAGATCTGTCCAATCCAGCTCAGAGCCCGTGACGAGGGGACGGATTTCTGCCATCTAGCGCCGCTGTTCTTGGAGCCCACCATTCTTCCGGTCCACTTGCAGCTTCGTTGTCCTATGTCCTGCGGTCCGCGTCGCTCTACTACCGAGGCGCTGCGGAGAGCGCTGCGCTCCCGATCGCCGGGTAATGGTGAGTGAGCGGGGGGCGTCTGGAGCCCGGGCGCTGCGTGGAACTGGCAGGACTGGCGCGGCGGGAACCTGAAACGGTGGGTGGGACGGCCGATCCTCTCCAGTCTGCAGCCCCCAGTCCTCCTCGGGGCAGCGCCGCCCTCAGCCACCCTGGCCGTCCTAGCCGAGCGCAGGTCCGCCGCGGCGGGAACCCAGCCCCCTCTCGGGTCACTGCGTGGTCGCCTCGGCCCTGACTGAAGCCCTGTCTGGGCAGCAGCCTGCCAGCACCCCGACTTCGCCCCAGCTGTGCGGTGAGACCAGGGACCATCCTCAGGAAGGGTCCACCTCTGTGCGTGGTGTTCCTGCGTGAGAATAGCTGGGGTATGCGGGGACCCCCAGCTTCCCCACTTTCTGGGCCTCCCGAATGTGCGGGAAACGGCACGTCCAACCCAGAGGAGCCTGTCCTGTAGCCTGGCTCTTTTTAAATGCCTAAGTTATAGATAAACTCCTAGGTTTCCAGCTCCCTGTCTGCATGGCAGTGCCGAATTCCCCTCTCTAGGTTGTGAACTATTTGTTTCCCATGCTACATTTTAAATGGACACATTTTTCTCCAAGTATTGAATGGCACTTTTTAAAGATTTTGTGTTCTGTTTTGAGGGTTTTTTTTTTTTAATTTTATGAGAGAAGAGCAGAAAATTGCTTGAGCATTTGGGGGAAAAATGTGTGTGCTTTTCCCTTTCTCTTTCCTAAGCACAAAAACTTACCACTATTTTTTTTTGAGTTGAGATTCTCCTCTGTAGACTTCATTGTGTGAAGTGTCCACACTCCATCCTCCCATCTTTTCTTGGCCCTGGATTTCATAAATACCTGACACAAAGTGCCACAACCTCCTGTCTAAATCCTCCTGGAGTGTCTAGTGTACACATTCCCTGGGTCTTGTGCTCCTAGAGAATAGCTGGAATTGTGAGGGTGAAGCTTATCAGAAAATAATTGAATGTCCTGTCCTGATCTTTCTTTCATCTAAAAGGCATTTCAATTGTTTCTTTTATTAGCTACTGTGAATAGCACTTCAATGAAAATGAGAGTACAGTCATTTCTTTGACTTACTGATTCCAATCCCTTTAGATATGTACCCAGAATTATTGTTACTGAATTATATGGTAGCTCTATTTTTAGTTTTTTGAAGAATATTTATGCTATTTAAAATACTGTACAAGATTTATATTCTAAGCAACATTCTATAAGGGTTTTGTTTTCCTCATATGTGTGTACTCTGAAGCACTTGTTATCCTGCAACTTTTTGATAATAGCCACTTTAACAACACTGTTCAGGCTGCAGGAGGTCTGCTATTGATTGGTGCATTAAGTCCCTAATGCAATTTAGAATCCAGTCTGTCAAGTTGCCACTAGAAGAGTGTGCTGTGACTTTTTCTGAGATCTGTGGTTTTTAACCCCTTTTCTTCACTACTAGTGGGGATTGTGGCCCTAAGGAGTACTTGCATACCAAAGTAAAACCACTTATTTATGATCTATGGAGATTTACACATGTTCAGTTACCTTTGCTCACAGAAGATTAGGATGAAAACCCAGGAAGAAAACGTGTTGAAGTTGAGGCTCACAGTGCTGGACAGACTCCTTCTAAGAAGAATTGGAGTTATTACTAGAGTGAACTGTGGGAGAGAGCTCAGGAAGTGCCAAATTCCCACTCAGGCTGCTAGTGGGAGCCTATTCCTTTTTAACTTTATAATTCTGGCTAGACGAGCAGTTGGCAGAGTATGCTGGCAGATGGAGAGTCAAGTCTATGGATAAACTGAAACCTTCAAGATTTAACTAATTGTCATCCCTGGTCCCAGACCACTCATGAAAGTGGTCTTGATACTTGTATATATGTATGAGGTCCCTTCCTCTCTCAGCACTAGGTAAATAAGATGCAAACCAGAGAAAACTTTAGAGTTCAGATATATATATATGGTCCCAATCTTCCTCTCCTAAGTGTCTCAACTCATTTGTGACCTGACTTTGTCTAAGGTCTTGAACATGTAGATATTTATGGAAACAGTGTATCCATAGAGAAAGGCAGGAGTCTTCTATTCTGCTGAATTTCCAACATTATCCTCCATTAACATCTGCCTTTTATTGTGGTGCTGGGGTTTAAACCCAGACCTTGCATATTCTGCATGCACACTCTACCAGTTATCTGTGTGCTCCCAGCCCCAGCACCTAGTTTTAGATTGGATTGGTCATCCTTTCAAACTGATGTAATTCTTGATAAGTTTTGGATTGGTATTTGGCCTTTCTGTTGCTCTTGACAATAGAAAATTTACATACATGTGGATTCAGCTTTGGGTTTTGTTTTTATTATGAATCCTTAGTCACTATTAATGCACAATTAGAGTTTCAAAATATATATTAGTGTCAAGTAATGACAACTACTTGTTTTGCTCTTAGAAATCAGAGGGGGTTTTGGCTAATTTTGTATGTATTTTACAGATGAATTGTAGGGTGTTTTGTCCTTTCTTTCACTAAAAGGAAAGCATGCTGAAATTTTGATGGATAATGTTGGAAATTAACTGTGAGGAAAATGATAATCTGTAGAAGGATGAGTTTTATCATCTACACATTATGTGTGTGATTGAGTCTTTTATTTGCTTTTGTAAATTTTAATTTTTTGGTAAATTATAAATATTTCCTTTGAAAGCATGCATACACATGAAGTATCACATGGATGAGACAGCTCTCTAAATACTTATCTGATGTTTTCTGTAGTTAAACTGAATGTAATGTGACCAAAAATGTGGCTCGGTCCTAGAAATCATTTTTCCCCACTTTATTATTTATTCCTAAGATGCAAACCAGAGAAAACTTTCCCCTCCCTCTAGATTTCAATTGTTTTGACCAGAATTGCTGGGTCCTCACATGTTTTTATGGTTCACACATGCACTGTGCTGATGGTGTATCATGTATCTTCATAGCCAGTTTCTGTAAGTACAAATTACATTTTCTCTTTAGTTCATAATCCATTTATTCCATATGTTTTTTTATTATTGTTTAATTTT